GTTCGAGAGATGTGTGATGTGCCACACATCAGCCCATGCCTAGATATTTTCCAAGTCTTGCAGCATAAGGCCAAGCTGCTTTGGTCACACATGGTGCTGAACATTGAGCAGACATTTCCTTCCGTCCAGTTTTGACCTTATTGTGAATGTAAGGTCAGAGAAGCAGCAGTAGGAAATGATTAGGCTATAACGCTACCTTGAGAAACTCATACGATGTCATCATGGAACCAAGATAATTTGCCTCCAACAACCGCAAACACCTTCCAGGGCACAAGGTATGACTCCAACCAGTGAAGAGGTGTGCCCTGACTGTCGTGACTCCAGTTATGTTAGGCTCCCTGGTGCCACTCTCTAACAAATGCTGCCTTGACATCAATAAGTAGTCACACTAACTTCATCTCTGGAATTCAACTCTTTTATCCATGTTTTAGACCAAGGATGCAATGAGGTCAGGAGCTGAGGGGCCCTAGTGGAACTCAAACTGAGGGTCACTGAGCACATTAGAGAACTAAGTGCTGCTTAATTGCATTGCTGACAACCCCCTTCCAGAATTATGCTGATGGTACACAGTAGGCTGAGAGTCCAGCCAACTACTGCTCTCTGTGCTGCCTTTAGTGAACAGAACATACCTGGAGAATTTTCCACATTGCCAGGCAGATGTGAGAGTGTTGTAACTGTATTAGAACATCTTGGCAAAGGCAGATGGTTCTGCAATACAAGTCTTCAGTAATATTGCCAGAATGTTATCAAGATTCCATTGCTTCTGCACTATCCAATGCCTTCAAAGGATTCCTAATATCATACAGTATGAATCAAATTGGTTGAAGACAACCATGTGTGATGGTGGGGTCCTCAGAAGGCCAAAATGGATCATTTAGTTGGCACTGCTGATTGAAGGTGGATGTGAATACTTCAACCTCATTGACTGCACTGACGTGCTGGGCTCCCCCATTGTTAAAAATGAGGATATTTGTAGAGCTGCCCACCTCCTGCTTGTTCGTTATCCACTATCATTGACAACTAGATGTTGCAGGACTTCAGATCAGATCCACAGATGAAATTGGCAATTCTGTAATCGATGTTCTGCTGTTTCAACTTTTTAGCATGTAAGTAGTCACATTTCATCACTTCACCAGTTGACATCTCATCCTCAGTTAGGTCCAGTGCTCTCCTGACATACCCTCTTACACTCTTCACTGAGCCAGGGTTGATCCAGCATGATGGAGTGATTCAGTTTCCACAGTGACCATGCAGTAGACATTCCTGCCAATACTGTAACGGATCTGATAAGGTAAAACTGATGATTGAGAGGTCAGGTTTTCCCTCTACACCTGCCATAGAATCTCTACAATGCAGAAACAGGCCATTCAGCCCACAGAATCTGCTCTGACCCTCTGAAGAGCAATCCACCTAACCTGCACATCTTTGGACTGTGGGAAGAAACTGGAGCAACGAGCGGAAACCCAAACAGGCATGGGAAGAACATCCAAACTCCGCACACTCAAAGCTGGAATCAAACCCAGGTTCCTGATGCTGTGAGGCAGCAGTGCTAACCATTGTGCCAGTCTACCAGCTCAATCTATAATGGCATGGGCAAGCACTTCTGATGGTCCACATTGAAGTCCCAAGCAGAGTACATTCTGTCCTCTTGCTATGCTCAGTGCTTCTGCTGTGTCAGATATTTACAGCACAGAAGAGAAGCCCTTTGGCCCATTGCATCCATGCTGGTCAAAAACAATCACGTAACTATTTTAATCCCATTTTCCAGTACCTGATCCATAGCCTTGTCTGTCTTGGCATTATAAAAGTGTACATCTAAATACTGGTTTAATGGTACAGGGTTTCTGCCTTGGCCACACTTACAGGCAGTGAGTCTTCGATTCCTATCGGCCTCTGGTAAAAACAGCTTTTCCTCACATCTCATCTCAATCTTTTGCCCCTCACCATAAATCTGGTCATCGATCCCCCCATCAAGTGGAAAAGTTCCTTCCTGTCTACCCTATCTATGCCTTTACAATTTTAGACATCTCAATCACATCCTCTCTCAATCTCTCCTGCTCTAAGAAACACAACTCCAGTCTGTCCAATCTCCCTTCAAACTCTCCATCCCAGGCAACATCCTGGTATGGTTGTTGACTTGCTCGCCGAGCTGGCTTGTTTTTGTTCAGATGTTTCATCACCATGCTAGGTGACATCATCAGTGGAGCCTCCGATGAAGTGATGTTGTTCCACTCTTGGAATTTATACTGTCCGGTACGTTATGGTGAGTACTGTCATTTCCGGTTTTGATCTGTATGGGTTTGTATATGGGGTCCAATTCTATATGTTTGTTGATTGAAATATGACTGGAGAGCCATGCCTCGAGGAATTCCCGTGCGTGTCTATGTTCGGCTTGGGCTACTACGGTTACCCAAGCCCAATCCAAACACAGACACGTACAGGAATTCCTAGGAGGCACGGTTCGCCAGCCATATTTCAATCAACAAACGTATAGAACAAATGATGATGTCACCTAGCATGGTGACAAAATGTCTGAACAAAAACAAGCCAGCTCGGCAAGCAAGTCAACAACCTCATCCACAACCCGAGCTACAGATCTTTGCCAATACTTTAAACATCCTGGTAAATCTCCTCTGCACTCTCTCCATCCCTCATCCCTCACATCCCTCCAAAATATGGATTCCAGAACTGGACACAATACTCTAGCTGTGACCTAACCAACATTTTATACAGTTCCAGCATAACCTCCCTACTCAAACTCTATGCCTCGACTAATAAAGGTAAGTATACTACATGCCTTGTTAACCACTCTATCCACCTGCCCTGACAACTGAAGGGACCGGTGTTCATGCGCACCAAGACATCTGATCCTGGGTGCTTTGCAGGGTCCTACCATTCACAACATATTCACTTGCCTTGTTTTACCCTGCCCAGTGATGTTCAACATAGAGGAGAAGCATTGATTCATCAGTCAAGGAGTGGGCAGGAGATAATAATAAACATTATCCTTGCCCACAGTTGACTGGATGCCATGAGACTGCACGTGGTCCAATGTCAATGTTGAGGACTCCCAAGACAACTCCCTCCCCACTATATAACACTGTGACACCACTTCTGCTGGGGCTATTCTACCAGTGGGATAGCACACATCATGGAAAGGTGATGGCTGTTACTTTCCCATTTTGAATCTCGCCTCCAGGTGCAAGAAGGATTTTGCATGGTTGGGTTTGCAGTAGTCATTTCTAGTGCCCAGGTCAATGTCCGGGGGTCCACTCAGTACTTTTCCTTACTTTGCTTTAATGTAATAGGTCAATACAAGTGAGTGGCTAGCTAAGCCATTTTAAAGGGCAATTAAGAGCAAACCATGCTATGGCCTGAGTCACATCTATGTCAGACTAGATAAGGACAAGAGATGTCCTTCCCAAAAGGAAATTGGAGAACCTGTGGGTTGTTTTGCTGACAACAGCTGATACTGGTCCGTCACATGGTCTCCTTTTAATGTTGGTTCATTTTGCTGAATGCAAATTTCACTATCTGCCATGGTGGGATTTGAACCCATGCCACAGAGGATTAGTCTGCAGGTCTGATTACTCTTCCACAAACAATGCCACTTTCCCACCACTCCCCAGTTCTAAACACTGCTTACCCAATACCAAATCGGTGTGTATTTCAAGTAGAAGTCCAAAATGATTACATTCGAGGTTCTGCATTTTCATTTGTACCCTGACTTGTTGCTCTGCTGAGAGAACATATCTCGTCTTACTTGTGTAATCTGTTCCTACATGTGTCACCACAACAGGATTGGCCTCATCCCATTTTAAGAACAATCCAGACTTGAAGAGATAGCTTAACCCTGGCATACAACTGACCTATCCCAATATGTTTTTACTCCCTCATTTCAATGGTGTCCTGGACCAAATTCTATGGTCAATTTGTTTAATTATCCTGAAATCCTGGTCATCATCCACATAGCCAGTGGTTACCTCATACTTATGGTTGAAGTAAAAGAATTTCAGCTACTCTATCACTACACACTAGATGCCCATAACAGCCTGATACTGTCTCTTCAGTCAAATCACCCTGTTCCTGATCACTGGCTGACTATAACCGTTTTCTTCACCTCAGAGGTCCAACTGCCTCATAAAACAAAGTGCTCAGTTAATTACCCCTCTCACCAATGCCCTGCAATGTCTGAAACTCAGGACACGAGTTCAGCAACTCTGAGCCAAAGCTACAGACATTTACCACAGACTTAGCAATGCATTCCAGATTCCCACATTTCAGTCATTGCATAGCACCAACCCAGTCACATCTGTACGAGTTTATTAATCCCCAAAGACTGCAGCAGATCAAGAATTGAGCTCACCACCTTCTCAAGGATAATGAGGAATGAGCAAAAAATTCTGGCCTAGTCAGCAATGACCACATCACAACAAAGAAAGAAACAGTATTGATTAGTTAAGTCATCACTAGATAGTTAGCTAAAGCAAAGCAAAAAGTTAGTCTCCCAGCATGCAAAAAGAATACTCACCAGCAACTGAAGGAAAACAAAAGACGAAAAGCAACTCCTTCAACTTCCCAACTTGGCACTTAGTTCACAAAGAACTCTGATCTCAGGTTATTCTACGCTTCACCACTCACAGTTAGCCTAATCCGAGATGAGGTCCTCAGCTGTATCTAAAAGAGGCTTTTCCTTTAGAAACAATGTTTAGTGATCAACACAAATATCACCTTATGCTTTCTGAAAACTAAATAGTGTAGGCAAGTCCAAAAGGAGTCAATCCTCTTCAGCCCACAATGAAAACAAAGTATTCTTGATCATGACTAGAACTTACTTGAAAAAGTGGTGTCAAGATGCTAGTTTTTTTTTTGTTTGGGGTCAAGACCTCCTATCTTACTAATGGTTTCAATTCGCAGATGTGCAGATGAATCTTAATTCTATTAAGCTCTTTTACAAATGGTGACAATTAGAAGTTATTATTTAAAACAAAAGAACATACCTTCTTTGATCCAGCAAATCCTTCAGATTCCAAGAAAAAATAGGCAAAAGGCATCAGCACGAACAGGGAAAGGTTGGAGAACAAGGATACAAGATTCCACAGTCCTAAAGTAGACATGATCAAAAATATTTTGCATAAATAAGGGGGTATGCAATAGACTGAGGCAAAAAAAGGTTTATACAGTGAAATGCTTTTAAACCAATTTCATCAGCTGCAGTCTCCATCACTAATTCACAACTTTCTTCAGGATATAAAAGGGCATGGTAATATACAAAATAATGAGTGACAACAGAACTAAAGTAAATTTTACCAGCTAAAAACAGTGTGCCAGTTTACATGTTTACAAATTGACATGTTCAATATTATCCTAATGAGAATTTTTTTTTTTAAAGAATTAGAACATAGTACAGTTCTAGGTTCTAATTCTTCAAAAAATAAAATTCTCATTAGGATAATATTCTAATATGATTCTCCAGTTTGATCTTCCATCAAAATATGGATATTGTTGCACAATCAAATGTTAGGACCTGTAGGATGAGATGGGAACCAAGAAATCTATATGCACTTCCAACAAATATAGCGGTGGCACAGTGATAAAATTGGACTAGTAATCTGGAATCAGAAACTGCTGTTTTGCGGACAGGACCTTGAATTCCACCATGGAAAGGCAGTGAAATTTGAATTCAATTTAAAAAAAATCTGGAATTAAAATTCTGTCTAACAGCAAATCCGTAACTACTGTTGACCTGGCTGACCAATATCCTTTAAAGGAAAAAAAAAATCTGTCTCTTCTTTACCACATCTGGCAAACATGTAAATCCAGACCCACAGCACTATGGCGGCACCCTCTCAAAGAAGCAATGATTCATCAAGGCAAGTCTGATAAGTTAAGACAAATGAGATCCCTTACAGTTAGGAGCTAGAGAAATTATAATGGGGAACAAGAAAACTGCAGAAGAATTGAGCACAAGTTTTGGTTCTGTCTTCACAATAGAGGCCACAAATAATCTCCCAAAAATGAGAGGGAACCAAGAGTCTAGTGAAAGGGTGAAAGTGATGGAATTCAGCATGACTAAAAGATCAATGCTGGGCACATTAATGGAGTTAAAGGCTAACCATCACCAAACCATGTCATCTATATCCCAAGTACTAAAGGAAGTTGTCCTAGAAAAACTGGATGCATTGGTGGGTGATCATCTTTCAAAATTGTATGGATTCTGGAGCAGTTCCTACAGATTGCAGAGTGGCAAATATAATACAACTATTTAAAAAAGAAAAACATACTAGGGCTACATTCAGAGATAGCAAGGACTGCAGATGCTGGAGTCAGAGATAACAAAGTGTGGAGCTGGAGGAACACAGCAGACCAGGCAGCATCAGAAGAGCAGGCAAGTTGATGTTTCAGGTTGGGACCCACCTTCAGAGAAAAAAAAAGGTCCCAACCCAAAACCTGAACTTTCCTGCTCCTCTGATGCCGCCTGGCCTGCTGTGTTCCTCCAGCTGCACACTTTGTTATCTGGGGCTACATTCACCATCTTCCAATTTGTAGGAAATGTTCCAGAGAATCTCAGACCAGTTAGACTAGTAGTGGGAAAATGCTGGAATCTATTGTAAAAGACACGATAACAGAACTGGAAAGCATCAACAGGACTGGGCAAAGCAGGCATGGGTTTATGAAAGGCAAATTATGCTTAACACATCTATTGGAATTTTCTTTTCAGGATCTACCAAGCAGAATAGATAAGGGACAACCAGTGGATGTGGTGCATTTTGATTTTTGGAATGCTTTTGTTAATGTCCCTTACAAGGGGTCAGTGGGCAAAGTTAAAGCACATGTGAATGGGGGTAATATGTTGAAAATGATTGAGAATTGACTGACAGACAGCAGAGAGTGGAAATAAATGGGTCTTCTTCCAAGTGGCAGGGAGTGACAGAATAGAATAGAATATCCTTCATTGTCACGTGTATTCAATAAACAAAATACAGCGAAGAGTGTGTACCATCGCCACTTACATAGGCACCACATATTAATTTAGAATGAAAAGAGATAACTTAGAGTCCAAATTGTCCTTCTCTGCTGCTACGCCATGCCGCTGCCGAGAGTCCCGCTCCAGGCTTCTCATCCCATGCCATGACGCCATCAGGGGCCTACTCCATCAGTCTCACTCCAGGTCCGACAGACCAAACGACCGATTCTGCAGGCACACCTGAAGCCACCGCTCCGGAGCCTGTCAAAGCCTCCTTCTGGGAAAGAGCTCGCTCCATCAGGTAAGTTTGAGAAAAAGGGGAAGAAGGAAAAAGAAAAAGGAGAAAATGCAGACAAAGAGGACAAGCCCGGGCACAGAAGCCCATACACTGCCTACTCCGCCGCTATCTTATTGACATGTAGAAAACCGCAATGATCAGTGCTTGGACCCCAGCTAGTCACAATATCTATAAATGAACTAGATCAGGAAATCAAATGCAACATTTCCAAATTTGCTGAAAGCACAAATGTGGGTGGGGTTGAGTGTTGGGAGAAGACAAGGAGCCTTCAAAGTGATTTGACAGGTTGAGTAAGTAAGCAAACACATGGCAAGCAATTAGGAAGACAAATGGTATACTGACTTTCATTGCTACTTCTGAACTCAAATCCTCTTGCATTACCTTACTGCAGTTATTCAGGCGTTGGCAAGGCCACACCTGTAGTATTGTGGTGATTTTGCTCTACCGACCCAAGAAAGAATATACTTATCCTAGAGGAAGTGCAGAGGTGATTTATTAAGCTGATACTGCAGGTGGCAGGACTCTTCTTTGAGGAGAGATTAGTTCAACTGGGAACACATTTATTACAGTTCAGCTGGGAACACATTTATTACAGTTCAGGAAGATAAAAATAGATCTGATTGAAACAATGAATTTTTAAACAGGGTAGGACATACTGGATGCAGGGAAAATGGTTTCCCCAGCTGGAGAGTGAAGAACCAAGCTACAGTCTCAATACAGGTTACAGCATTTAGGACGGAGTTGAGAGAAAATGTCTTCACTTAAAACAGTAGTAAACTTGTGGAATTCTCTACCACAGAAGCATGTAGAGGCCATGTCAGTGAATATATTCAAGACTGAGATCAATTCTTAGATCTTAAAAGCATCAAAGGGGTGTGGGGAGAATGCATGATTATGGCACTGAGATAGAGGATCAGCCATGGTCCTACTGAATGTGAGGCATGCTTGATGGGTTGTGCAGCCTACTCTTGCCTAGAACGGCCTAGTTTCTATGTCTTTATGTCAGCATGGATTTGTTAAGGGAAAGTCAAAACATGTTTTGACAGATTTGAACAATTTTTTGAGAAACGAACAGGAACAATGATAAGGGTAACGCATTTGATGTGGTCTATATGGACTCAATGGTAGAATGGTCAAGAAACTAAGAGTCTATGGGATCCAAGGCTAAGTGACACATTCAATCCAAAATTGGCTGAGGGGCAAGAAGCAGAGGGTAATGGTAGAGGGATGTTTGTGACTGGAGGTCTATTTCCAGTGGAGTTCCACAGGGCTCACTGCTGGGGTCCTTGCTGTTTGTGGTGTGCCTTACTGACTTGGACTCATATGTAGGGAGTATAATCAAGAAGTTTGTGGATGACATGAAAATTAGTAGTGTGGTAAATAATGAAGAGAACAGCTGAACACCGTAAGTGGATAACTGGACTGCTCAGGGGGGCAGAGCAGCAAAAAAAAATAAAAAATGAAATTCAACCCTGAAAAAGGGCAGTTAGGAAGGCCAGGCAAGGCAAGGGATTACACTGAATAGTAGGACTCCGCAAAATACTGAAAGATCAGGGCAACCTTGGTGTGAATATTCACAGATCCCTGGAGGTGGCACATTAAGGAAATAATGTGGTTAGAAGGTTTGAGAGATCGTTACCTTTATTAGCTGAGGCTCAGAATATAACAGTAAGAAGGATATGTCGCAATTATATAAATATTGATTAGGTCACAATTGGAGTATTGCATGCAGCTCTGGTCACAACATTATATGAAGGATGTGATTGCACCCTCTTCTGCACAGGGAAGAAATACCAGGATGCTGCTAAAAGTAGCTACAGAGGTAGTTCGATACATTGGTTGTAATTTTTCTAAAAACCTTGTATTCTGGAGGAGTGCTTGACAAATGAAAAGCTGCCAACGTGACACCTCTATTCAAAAAGTGAGAAATGCAAAACATAGGTAATTATAGGCCGATTAGCCTAACATCAATTGTCGCAAAAATGTTGGAATCAATTATTAAGTAACAGCATCACATTTGGAAAATCATAATCCAAATCCAGCAGAGTAAGCATGGCTTAAAGAAAGGCAAATCATGTCTGACTAATCTGTTAGAGTTATGAGGAAGTCTCCCCCAGAGTGAATAGGGGTGAACCAGTAGATGTGTTGTACTTGGACTTTCAGAAGGCATTTGACAAAGTACCTCACAAAAAGATTTTGTCAAAACAGCATATGATATTGGACAGCATATTGATGGATACAGACTTGTCAAATGTACAGGAAACAGTGAGTGGACGGGGGCGGAGGGGGCTGCTTTTTCTGGTTGGCAACCTGTAACCAATGGCGCTCCACAAGAATCAGTGCTTGGATCAAAACAGTATTACTCAAGTGCTGAAAACCAGTAAAAAGCTGCAAAAGAAAGGTTGGGGGCGGGGGACCGGGCAGATCAAGCAGCAGAGTAGGAGGAAGAGAGTTAACATTTCGGACCGCCTTCATCAGTAAGTGTGGCGGGGGTCGGGGGGTGGGGAGAGGAGGGCGCACGGAGGTGGGTGGTGGTGGTTACTTGTGCACAAAACACAAAGCAGAGGCGCAGCAGGTAATCAGGAAGGCTAATAGAAGGGAGCACTGGAATATAACAGTAAGGAATTCTTACTGCAATTGTACAAGAAGCTGGTAAAACCACATCTGGAATACTGTGAGCAGCTTGGGTCCCCTCGTGTGAGGAAAGTTATTATTTCATTGGAGGCATCTCATTGAAACATATACAATTCTTAAATGCAAAGGCTAAGAAGATGTTTCCCTGATGGGAGAGTTTAAGACTAGAGGGCATAGTCCCAGAATAAAAAGGGTGCCAA